CTACGTGATATCATCAAGTAATTCCTTCAGTTTCCAAAAGGGAGAAACATGTATTAAGAGATTGTTGTATTTACAAAATGCAACAGAGAAACAAATTCAAATTATTCACGTTCGTGTGACTTAAACAAGGCATTTTAGAAAGACATAGGTAATTCCATATGATCAGAGCTAGTGGTATGATGTCTTAACTTTTGTCAGTCAATTAATTATTAGAAAGGAGAAACTACACAACTTTATTACAAGAATACACTTCTCTCAACTAACATAAGGGCAGTCGAAATAAAGAAAGAAAGAATGTGTCTAAGCATTATAAAAATAGGTATCAAGTAGTATCAATAGCTGCTATTGAAATGCAAATCCAAAATAATAAAAGCTATGGAGAACTTCTGTTGCCTTCTTAATCTAGGAAAGAGATGTGTCCTGTTTGTAATTTCATTCAATAACTTAATGGTTTAATTTTTAAGCCCAACAGCAATTGAATACATATCACTTCATATTGATCAACTCTTAATATTTTTTTTAGTTTATTTAACACCACTCCTTTCCAAAAATGATTAATTTATGAACTCTACTGTATCTCTGATAGTTTGACTGTTGCTTCTGCCTACAAGTATGAACTTAGCCAGCACTCCAACCTTGTCCTTCAATTATTACAACACTATCAGATAAAATTAACAAAAGATAATTGTTGAAGAGAAAAAACAGTAGGCAAAAAGATGTTGAAACCATCTGTGCAAATACACCCAAGATACTGGTTTATATAGGCTTTATTATATTAATTACACATGATTAGAGGACATTTCGTTTCCTCTAAATCAGATATTAGTTTCTTATAAACTGCTAAACAAAAAAATGCATAATATTTCATTCTAGTTTCAATAATAATATTTAACACTGAAATCACACAATTTTGCAATACACTTGCTGTCCCAGAAAAACAACTTGACACACCTGATGACACAACCTACTATCAGAAACTCCTAATACATAACTACCGCCAATTATTTTATACACAAAAACTTTCATCTTTCAGTTTCTAGTACAAAACTAACTAAAAGCAGACATTTTCTACACATAACTGCCATCTAGGGGTTTCTAATGAAGAATTGATTCTTCAAGCACTGATTTCCTACGCATAAAATGCCTTTACTGTCATTGACTATCGACTGGTATCATCAATCAATTCAAACTCTTAGGCCATAATCCCTTTATTCACGAAAATATAACTAATTTTTTCATCCCTATTAAAAAACTAAGATGAAGTTGAATCCTTCAAGCATAAAAATATGAAAATATTCACTACTTTCAAACGCATAAATACCTAATATCACCCCCCTCTTAAAAGTAAAAGAAGCTCAATCAATAAGAATAAGGTATAGGAATGATGAAGGTCCTCAATCTATCACAACAAAAATTCTTCTTACTTTTGGTCAAAATGGTGCACTTAAGTACAAATTGTCTCCTAATCTAAGCAAATGTATAATCAATCATAAATAAACAGCAAATTTTCATTCCTGACCTTATAAAATCCAAATTTCTAAATATCAAACAATTCAAGAAATAAAATCTTATTTACCTGAATCTCCAAAGGATGCCCATGAATTCCCATCCTCCGATCTATCATGCAAGAACCATCTGTTACTAATAAGGTGGGGAACATATCAAAGCCATCAGCAAGACATAACCTCAAAATCATCTTAATTCCTGTTTGCACATCAACTCTCTCTTGAACTGATAGATCACCAGAGCATTTTCCATATGCTCGTAATAAAATAATCCACCACAATCCTGAGATCACATGTGAAATACGTTCAGCAAACCAAGAAGAATTATAGAAAGCTTGTTCTGCAATGTAGCAAAAGTATTTCTATTTTACCAGAATCAACAGGAGCAACACGCCCAATGGCTGCCTCTCCAAAGTCAGGATCCAAAACTTCTTCCGTTGCAGAATCATCACCATCTAGAGGAACTGTCCGAACCTTAAAACTTGCAGGCATCAAACCTTGTCCTGGACTATGACAATCCATTGTTTTTTCCCAGCTCTGAAATATGGATCTTTTCGTTTAAAACGGTATGAGAAACAACAAAGTATTTCTTGATAAGAATTTAAGGACTCCCCCGTCCCCCAAATGATTGATTCCTCCCTTTCATTAATTATAATAAAGTTAGGACAATTGAAGTGCTAACAAAAGAATATTACTAATGAAAAGTATTATTTAATGTACTTTTCATTAATTGCATGCAGAAGATGGGACCAGTGGTGCTCTATCTGTAGCCAATTCACATCAATATTAATTGTCAAACACAAGCGTTTTCAGCGTGTTCATTAAAAGAAAATCAGTATTTTACTTCCTTCACCAAAAAAGTTCCAAGTCAATGGAGAAACAGCGAGGTAGATTTGTAGGATTAAAAACAGTAATGAATGATGAAATAGGAATAACTCTGTAAAGGAATAACACAAATCGCAATTGCATGACTCTGGAATAACCAATTAAAAATGAAAATACATGTCTAAGGCGTGCAAATGACCAAGTTGTATCAAATTTTGATGTTACAAGCGCACATTATATATTATACGACCAATATTCCAAGAATTACCTGCAACTGCAGTGTATAAAGGATAAAATTCCGAACAATATCATACTCCCCCTTCAATAGGAAGGCAATTCCTGAAGGAATGAAATCACGAATAAAGACCTGGTCATAATTCAAAGTATTGGAACTGGTCGGGTCCTTTGCAGCAATAGTTCCGATGGGATTGCCACAATAGTAAACTACAGACTCCCTAAGTAAGTCCCATGCTTCTTCCTCAATGGAGGTGTCAAAGCCGTCAGTAATAGCTCCATTTGAAACATTAGATGCCAAAACCTCTTCCTGTTTCAACTGATGGACTTGGACATCTTCAAACTCTAGGATATGCTTTGTACTCATCACATTGCTTGCTGAATTTGATGTTTCAACATCATTCAAAAGTCTTGATCCATTTCCATCTCCTGCTGTTACGCCACTCGCACTTTCAGCCCGTTGGCATTTGCATGTCTTTAACCATGGACGACTATAGGTTTTGTTGTGGTCATGCAAAGTGACACCCATCCATTGAAATTGATGAGTTCTTAACCGGCTTTGGAGCATGCTAGAACACACAATTAAATCCCTATGCCTTGAGGACCTTTTCTTCATACATTTTACTCCAAACCGGGAATGTAACGTTAAATCTGAAGAATTCATACGAGGCTCATTATACCCAGTTTGAGGCACGGTCCTGGACAGAACCTGAAAAACTACTTTAGAAGTACCCAGGGACATGCTGCTTTACAAAAAGGAAACTGTACCCACTTAAATTTGCTTCCTGTTAATGCCTTTAGATTACACCTGTGAGAAGGAAAAACTAAGTAAATCAGCATAAATGAATGACATGAACACAGCAATTTCAACTAAATAAAGATTGCAAGACATTATCAGCAGCTTGCAATTTAGAAGAAGGGAAGAAATAGTTTATTATGAAACCATATCTGAAATTTAACTCATTTGCTTTACCAAACCCAGAAATTCTAGAACAAAATAAAAGCAAGGATAACAAAACCAATGCTCAATTTGGCATCAGAACAAACAGCTTTCGGAAAGCACAACATTTGAGAATTAACATTCACTTAACCGAAACTAACCTAAAATCAGTCCAATATATTCATATACACATAATTCAATAACGGAAACAAAAAAAAAAACAAAAAACAAAATTATATTCCAAGTAATTATTTAACCAGTGCTCGGAGCTCAGAAAATTTAACAGGAAAAAATAAAAACAAATAAAGCATAGCAAACCAAAGCTTAGCAAATGCATAGCAAAGTTAACAAAAATATCAAACAAACTATGTGGATTCCCAGAAAACAAACCTATGACCGGAGAAGTACTGGGAGTGTCGCGGATCTTGAAATTAGTGGAACAGAGAACAACGTATCACTTCGCAAGTTTTATTTTATTATATTTTTATTTTTTTGTTCTGGTCCCAATGATATTTCAGTTTCTTCTTCTTATCTTATATTGCTCTTCTCTCGCGCAATTGCAATTATGAATTTTTCTTTTATGCCTTTGCTTTTTTATCGATGACACGTGATATTCGAACGCGACCTCTGCGCCTCCTCGCAAAGCAAATGAGAAAAACGGAGATTGTGTGCACCACAAAAAAACAAATTTTCGGCTGTCTTTTTTATTTTCCTTCACCAATAGAATCTTTTTTGAGAAACAATTTCTTAAGAAATAAAAAGAAAAAGGTTTTGTCAGATTATATAAATTTATTCTTTTATCATTTTTCATAGCATCTTATTGTAATAGAAATTTTTTCTTTTAATTTATTAATTAGTAGTCTAAAAATATTCGTCAACAAAGTTATTTATTTTTAGTTTTTCACTATATAAGTTTCCATGACAAATTAATCCCAACCGCGTTTAATTTAATTTTCGAAGCCATTTTCAATTAATCCAGAATCCAACCGTTTTAATTAAAATTGATTTTATTTATTTCAGATTGTGGAATCAGACCCACAAATAAATTGTTGCATTTTCTTTTCTTTTATTCTCACATATTATCTCTTTTCTATATAAAATCTGTTATTGCAAACTTAAAAATGTCGCTGTTCTTCAGTATTCCGGACACTAATTAGTTCGATTCCAGTCATTGATATTATTTTTTAATTAATATATATACATTTTTTCTACAACTACAAACTTTACAGCTTATTTATCTCTGAAAATGAAAGCTCCAAATAAAAGTGTTGGCCAAGTTGATTCAATGCGAAAATGACAATCTGATTACTGAGATAATTTGTTCGGTTTAAATTTAAAGTAAAATATAACAAAAGTAATGGAAAGATCCAGATAATAAAGCTCAAAAAGAAATCAAGTGACCAAGTTGATTCAAGTTGAAAGCCATAATTTGGTAATATATGATTCAATTATAATTTCATTCATTTAATTTTTAAATAAAATCAACCAACTAGCCATATTTTTTAAGTTACATGAGTTTGAATTATAATATTCTTTAAATTAATTCAATCCAATGCACAGCTACTCTCAGCCATTTAAGTATGGTTGGAATTTCATGCTAAGGGATGCTAACTTAAACAATATTCTAAAGGAAGAGGTGAGATAGAACATAAGCCACATTTTAAACAGCAGAGGCGCAGCAGCATTAATCATACGCTAAACCCTGTCCAACTCAGTCTTGTGTTTGTCTAACTGATCTTTCAACTCTTTTTTCCATTCCTGAATTAAATTTTCTTGTTTTTTTATCAGCTCGTCTTTTATGTTAAGTTCCTCTTCCATCAGAGCAATCTCCTGCGTAGAAGATAAGACATACAGCAGAAGTTTAGATGACAAATTACAGTATCCATGACTGGTAGAAAATCATTTCATAGTGTACGCCATACCTTTCTAAGCATTTCAACTTTTGTTGGCTTATCCTCACGTTGGAGGCTGATGAAATAAAGCTGGAGCTTCTTGGCAGCCTCCATAAAGTCTCTTGCATACCTATCCACATCAACTGAAAAAAAAAAATTCAAAACCAGGAAAGTTCAGTTGGATAATTGGTTAAACTTACTAAGCGTTGCAAAAGAAAGTCATTTTGCAAATATAGTTTCAAACAAAAGCAAGACTTCTGCTCTCACTGTAAGTCCAACGACATAAGTGAACCTAATTAGTCTTGCAACTGCCGTTAAACTTTATGCATGCCACGGTTACATGACCATTTTCCACTAACTTCAATAGCTATGTTTAACACTATGCTTGCAGATGTTACATATGAAAAGTTTCTAACTTTGCATTCAGACTAGAAGAGTGTCATAATCCATATGAACCTTACTTAAGTCTAAATAATGCAGACCTAATAACCTATCCCCTATATGGAATTAAGAAATATGACATGCATAAAAAATACACAAAGATAAGACATCAGTTTATGGCATTACCACTCATTACACACAAAGATTGCACATATTCATGGTTTTGATGAAAACATGGTTCTTTAAAAATTTAGTTAGCTACAAAATCATCCATGTGAACTTTTTTACCACCCTTCTTCACTCCCTGCCCCATCTTTCTGCCCTAGATGATCAATGCGTGCATACTTGAACATTGTACAATCTATCAACAACTAAATTGCAGATGGGAGAATTATTAACAGGACGTTCATTCAGATTTAAACGTCGGGCAAATTATTTTGACAGGTTAACCTAATAGCAAAATTTGACAAAAATATGCATCCCCTCATCATTACATGATACGCTTCGAGTTAATATTGCGTCAAGGCTAGACAGAATAGACAGTATGCTTCCTCTCAACTTGAGAGTATATGTAGCATCGTATAAGATACATGGTGCTTTAAGGTTCCATGTAACTGAAACTCAACAATTACTTCACAGGAAAATGACTCGAAAACTTCTGATAAAACAATAAACATACAACATTTTATATTTTCCTTTCAATGTAAAAAGTACATAATTTTGAAAAGAAAAATTGACACAATAAATTCAATTGAAAAGGGGGGAAAAGGATACATTGACCTTCCAAAACTTCTAGCATATATTAGAGATTACTGGTAATATTCAACCAAACAATCATTTCTACTTCGCACCACATCAATCCAAAGAACGAAGAGAAAGATGTATTGAGCGTTCAGAAATAACAGAAGAAATTTTAGATTGTACCATATCCTTTTTATACTGGAAGACATATATTTCTTTGATCTCCTAAGCAATGTTATTGTTAGTTTAAGCATTGTATATTAATGCAGAAAAATTAATAACTGCAATCCCTGATAACTTTAATTGAGATAGAAACCAGAAAGTAGGTAATTAAATAAAGTTTCAAAGGCCTTTTGGTGCCGATGGTTGATGCATAGTTATCCATCTCGGTTAGCATGGACATCAGCCAGTTAATAAAACAAAGCAAGAAATCTGAAAGACTTGCAGCTACTCACTTTGATGTGAAGGGTGGGGAGAACGGTCTATTGCTTGGAGTTCTCTGGCTGGCAAACAGGGAAGCAAAGCAGCTTCCAAAGCCATAACACAGGAAACCATATCATCCTTTGAGGGAGGAGAAGATGGCAGTTGGGGATCACCTATGTGCTGTTGCTCAATTCCTTGCCGATCACCCATATTCCTTTTCACCCTGCCAAGGAGAAAGATAGAATTAACGAAAATTCTCCCTAGCCACACTACATAAAAATTTCATGGAATAAGATAAAATATTAAGAGTAATTAATAACGGCTTCATTTCTAGGGGGTGGATTCAATTACCTTTTACCGAGAAAAGTCACGTAATTTCTCTTAATTTTCATGTGTTGAATGACCAACTTCAATTTTTCAAAATAAAAAATATAAAAGAAACCGATTGAAAAATAAATAAATATTTTGCTGGGTAAAGTTCAGATTTCAATAACATTTTTTTTAATTTCAATCAATTTTTATTAATAAAGAGAATAATCACGTTTCTGAGAAAACCCCCCATCGAATGAACAAGAAGAAAAATGCTACCCTCGACAAGCATCATTGGTGAAAAAGTCCAATCCACAAATTCGGTGACAAGAAACGAAGGAAATAAAATTCGTGGAGGAAAATCAACCCAAGCTAGATAAATAGCAATGAAACCTACGAAAATTTTAACTGCAGTTTCAGCAAAACTAAGAGTAACCATGGCAACACCACGTAGAGAGGAATTGAAACTAGGAAACTCACGTGGTAGCGACTGAGAAGATGACGCGCGTGAGTGAAGACTAGAGATGCATTTGGGTTTTCATATTTGATTCATAAACCTAATTTGGCTTCTTTTGGGAAAACCTAATAGTTTAATTCAAATTTTATTGATACAGCTTCAAATTTTCTACATCTTTCTAATAACTAATAAAAAGATTAATATTTGTATACTTAATTCATTTCGAATTATTTTATATTTTAAAATGAAAATATTATTTTTTGATGTTGAGTAGAAAATAAAATTATTTTATTACTTCTCTTTGTAAATTACTTTCTAAAAGAAGTATTTACCAGCAGAAAAATATGTACTATGCTGTATATAGTTTTTATTTATCTTATTAGTAATTTGTCTATTATAGATAATTATTTTAGTTTAAAAAATAGTCATGTTTAAAAGAATGATTAAATTTAAAAAATGGAAGGATAAAATTGATAAAAATATTACATTAATTTTAAAAAACATGCAAATTTTAAAATTAAAGAAAAAGTGTACAATAAAATTACAAATTTTCTCCGTATAATGATAATATGATGGTATAATGATATAGATAAAAAATAGTTGTCTATCGGAATTTGCAATTTAAATATCAAAATTTATATTACAAATAAATGTATTTTCAAATAATAAATTGAATTTATTCTTTTACATGTGAGTAATTTTAGAGATAAACATAATTTACTTGTATTAAAAATATATTCTCAAAATTCTTTTATTTTGTGTATCCTCCCCCAACATGCTAACACAGCAAGCACAGACTTTGAATCTTGAACTAAATGGGAAATAATTTGCTTCTAGTTTTTAAACAAGAACATGAATCATCTGACCCAAAAGGGAACCTGGTTTTACCATGCAAATGGTAACACCACTTTATTTACATAAACTTATGTCTATGTTTAATGATCCGTTTCAGAAGATACTGATAGTACATTATAGTCTTGTGTCTTGGGGGTAGAACTAACGGGCAAACTGACACGCTCCTTCCCTTCTGGCTTAGAAGATGCATTGCCATACCATATCATTCCCGCTATTGCAATGACCATGCCCAGAATCACTTGTGAATTCAGACCTTCTTTTCCAAAGAAAACAAATCCTAAGGCCAGTACCAGAATTGTCTTCATGTGGCCAAGCACTTGGAAGGATACGGCTGTGAACCTGCCAATGCAGATGAACTGGCTCAGGTTTGTCCCTACTGCGATGGTGCAAGAGATAACGATCAACAGCTGCACAAACATGGAGTAGATGTAGATTAGTTTAATACCACTTCGGTTTCGACATAATTGCAAACAAACAACAACTATGTTACTTGTTGAAACAATTTTAATGAAATAACGTTTTAAACTAATTTATCTGGAGCAAATTAGAAACTACATAGTTTTTCATTGAAAACATCCATCATGTCAGTGTCTTTTTTAGGCACTATGTGGTGGTGTATTGTTTGCAGGATCCTGATTTTTCAACTTGTTTTTATAACATATCTTTCAACTTAAACATTCTAGAAGAGAGCTGGAATTGATAGGTGCACAACATTTTTATATGGTGATACCAGAAGTGCTGGAAAGTTATGGTTGAACTAAAACATTGCTACAGAGAATCAAAAACATTCACGTAACAAAACAGAGATAAGATCCACAACATAGCAGTTAACACTAGATATGTATCAAGAATCAATAAAGCATGTAATTAGGTAGCAGATAGAAAGAGAAGCTTACAGTGGATGTCAAACCATAGTTGTAGGCATCCACTCGTTTGGTTGTCAACCAATAGTCCACAAAGGGACCTACTAGCAGTAAACTTGCGGCTTGTACTGGTGCAGTGTGACCTAACAAGTTAAACGATCCAAGAGAATACTTCCGCTGAAGAAAATGCACATACTGCAAAAAACAGAAGTGCAATATCAGCTACAAAATTTATAGTTCATGAAAGTCAAATAAAGCAGCAAGAGTTATAATTGGAATGATCTGATATAAGTTACATAATTCTGCCCAAAATATGCATCAAACCCATGATCAAAACCCAACTTTACAAAGAAAATTTTCTGCAGGCTTCCTATTTTGTCAGTTTTAGATATACAATAAGATAAGATTAATAAATTCTTATCTAGTACCATTTATAATCAAAATATTCCCTCGGTGTACCTATTGTACTTTTAATGAATATTAATATTACAGATATTATTCTCAACTATGGATTCTCTCCAAACTTAATACACTACATTAACATCAGCCCCTCTGTAGTATACATGAATGTTAATAACAATTTTCTTGCACCTATAAGTGCACATTCACCAATTCTATAACAACCTGTATGAAAAGGAATTCAATTTTGGTATACTGCAATGCCTCAATTAAGATTCAGGGTAAATATATATAGTGTTAGTAGTATGTTACTTACATACTGCTGCAGTGCGGTGCTCCAAACTGCAACTGCAGCAGCTATGAAACCCTTAGCATTGACGCTCACATCAGTGACAGTACATACGGCTACACCAAGGAGAACTAGAGAAATGCTAAGCTTTGTGTCCCTTGAATATCGTACGTTGTCCAAGATAACTTCCAGGAAACAAGATACCGGAATCATACTCAGCTTAGCAATCTGAAATTTTCATTTCATGGGAAGAAACACTGTCAACACCAAATGGCAGTATTAAATTTTGATAAGTAAATTGCAGACATTACCTGATAGAAACCGACAGAGTTCCACATTAAACTCACATTCATTCCGACGATAGAGAAATTTGCAAATAAGACAAATTTGATAAGATCGGGTAAGGGAAGATGAGAGCTTTGGATATATCCCAGCCACTTAAGAAAGAGAGTCAGCAAGGTAGTTGTGGCAAAATGCAAACCAGTTAACGTTGTTGCTGCATAATAGTATACCATATACAATGTCAAAGCTAACGGGTAGTAGGGAACCTCAAAAGTACTATATTACCATTATTCTCTCAATATACTAAATACTTTCATATCTACTGCACATGAGCATTAACTCAAAGCAAAGAACTATAGAGAAATTAAAATGAAAGAGGAGGGTAAATTATCTGGAGCTAGAGAAAGGTAGAGAAACGTTATACCAAAGCTGAAACCATATGTAGCCATGAGGGCTTTGTTCACAAGGATTATCCCCACAGATGTGACTATATTGAACATCCACGACGCCACATCAATTGCAGCCTTCCTATCACCCTTGGTTGCAGAAGACATACTCATTGTATCACAAAGTTTGAAATCCAATGACTTTGTCTGCATGCGAACACATATCATCAGAAGTGGCACAGATTCCAACGAAACAGGTTAAACTCTCTCATATCTTTCTTTACTACATTTAAAAACAGTTGGATCTGTTACATATGTTTTTTCTATAAATATCTCCCATAAACACTTTAACAGAACATTTAAAGAAGAGAACGACAAAATATTTCGTACTGTTTCTGTTTGTTGGCTTTCAAATTCAAAACACTTATTTATTTCGACAACAATCTTCGGAACTTGTTCCAGGAATTGATTGCCGAAAAGTGTCAAACCAAGTGTGTGAACAAACACATCTGGTTTCCAGGTGTCTTAGCATGTAAAACCAGCACAGAAAGAGAAAAACATAAATGAAAAAGCTGATGAAGATTGCTCTGTTCAATTACCAGAATGGCAGCAGGTACCTGACCACTACAAAGATGGAGCTCTTCCTGACGATCAACAAACCTAGAAAACAAAAAGACTAATTAAGCATGAATGTGAACCAAATCCAATACCCTTTTATATAATTTCATCTTTTATGAAAAAGAGGTAACAGATTACAAGATAAGTCTTGTGAGAATTTCGTCTTAGAATTTTCAATATAAAAAAAAATGTGATTTTTGAAAACGGCAAACAGAACCCTCATCTCACAACAGAGTTCAGTTCCGCGAAACAGAATCATGAAACTGCAATAATTTCAAAACACACAACTAACACATAACAATACCAATAACTTGAAAAAAAAATGTCACTCCAAACGGAATTCAAAAAGACGCGATTAGTTGTGAAGAAGTAAACCATGGGAACAGTGGCAGGAACCTTGGTTGTTCTTGAATTGAAAGAAGACCCTAAAACGACGACGTAGGTGGTGAGAGGAGGTTATGGAAGAAGAAAAATCACATATAGAGAGAGACAACAAGGTTCGGTTCGGGTTCGGTTTGATTCGGTTGTGTTTGGCGTTTCTGTACTTTGTTGTTTCTCTTCTCTCCTTGTACTCTGTTTGGTTCTTAAAACATGACTGTGGCGCGGGTGCTTTTTGTAACGTTCTGTTTCAGTGAGGTTGGGGAGGGAAGGAGCAACAGCGTAAACGCAATGTCATGAAGAACAATGGTCTATTTTGTCACAGTACCACAAAGTTTAATGCGTTGATTAATCATTTCTGTCGAAGAATGTGTATTTGCATGTTACATCTCCACCGTTGATAGTTTATTGTTACCATAAATTTAAGGTTAGTTTCATCCCAAAATTCGATGGCCTGTCACAAAAATAATTCTGCTTCTCTCACAAATAATGATTAAGGTAAAAATTGGTAGGAATAGGAACTATGTAGATCAATGCTCGATTATTTAAAATTATACCTTTTAAATATATATATATATATATATATATACATATATTATAAAATAGTCCAAAATGTTACCATATTTCTGTCATGTATTAATGAAAAATAGAAAATAAAAATTGTATTTATTCATTATTTGAAAAAATATTATTAGAACTCTTATCGACTAATGATAAATGTAAATATGTAGACGAATATAATATTTATCTTATATAAGTTATTTTTATGAGATTGTTATTTAAAGTTATTATATCATATCTTAGTTTACTAGTTTTTTTTATTATCTATGTAAACTTTTAGATTTTTGAAATTTTTTTAATATATTTTAGAACATAAAAATTATTTATAATAAATGTATTTTAAAAGTAAAAAGTAGAAAGAGTAGATCATCTTATAAACCAGTTTTGTAGGATTGAGTTAGATTCAAAGTTCACTCCTTATCATACTATTAGAGTTATGGTTAGAGTCTATCCAAACAATGTCTATTCTTTATTGGATATGTTTTTCCACTCCTTATCGA